TATAAAATTTTCTTATCATATTAGATATGGATCAAGTTATATAAATTTGGTTATCAAATTAGATATGGCTTTGGATCAAGTTATAAAAAATTTTGTTAATCAAATTAGATATGGATCAAGTTATATAAAATTTTCTTATCAAATTAGATATGGATCAAGTTATATAAATTTGGTTATCAAATTAGATATGGCTTTGGATCAAGTTATAAAAAATTTTGTTAATCAAATTTGATATGGATCAAGTTATATAAAAATTTTTGTTAATCAAATTTGATATGGATCAAGTTATATAAAAATTTTTGTTAATCAAATTTGATATGGATCAAGTTATATAAAAAATTTTGTTAATCAAATTTGATATGGATCAAGTTATATAAATCTTTTGGCTAATCATTGTAGGAAAATGTCTTCCTCATCAAGTGATGAAGTAGATGAAGCTTTAGAAGAAATGGTCGACGAAGTAGTTGATAATTACATCGATTCAATGCTTCTTGCTGACCCTACCAAGTCTACGAGACGAGCTTATATCGAAAGATATCGGGAACGAGGACACAATCAACTATGGAACGATTATTTCACGGAAGATCCTACATACCCACCACCATTGTTTAGGCGGCGTTTCCGAATGAACAAACCCTTGTTCCTTCGTATTGTCGAACGCCTAAGCAGTGAAGTTCCATACTTTCAGCAAAGAAGAAATGCTACCGGGAGGTACGGTCTATCGGCACTTCAGAAGTGTTCAGCATGTATACGTATGCTGGCGTATGGTCTATCGGGAGATACATGTGACGAATATCTTCGAATGGGTGAGAGTACATCACGTTTATGTTTGGAACATTTCACTAATGCGATAATATAATTGTTTGGAGATGAGTATCTACGAAGACCTACACCTGAGGATCTTCAACGATTACTCGATGTGGGAGAGGTACGAGGGTTTCCAGGGATGATAGGCAGCATTGACTGTATGCATTGGAAGTGGAAAAACTGTCCAACGGCTTGGAAAGGTCAGTACACACGTGGTTAAGGAAAGCCGACAATTGTCTTAGAAGCTGTGGCATCACAAGATCTTTGGATATGGCACGCATTTTTCGGATTACCAGGTACCCTCAATGATATTAATGTTCTTGATCGGTCACCAGTTTTTGATGACATTTTACAAGGCCGAGCACCTAAGGTTAAGTTCAAGGTCAACAACCACACTTACCGTATGCCCTACTATCTGACCGACGGTATTTATCCCAAATGGTCAACATTTATCCAATCCATCTCACTTCCTCAAGGTCCTAAAGCAGAGCTATTTGCTCAACGTCAAGAATCCACCAGAAAAGATGTCGAACGGGCTTTTGGAGTATTGCAATCGAGGTTTGCAATTGTTAAAAACCCAGCTCTACTATGGGAGAAGGAAAAAATAGGAAAGGTAATGAGAACTTGTATCATATTGCACAATATGATAGTAGAAAACGAACGCCACGGATACGCTCAAATTGATACATCTGAGTTCGAGTCAGGAGAGACAAGTAGAGGTTCCACGGTGGAAAGAAGAACAAGTATTCATGTCGGTAGTATGTTACCCATTCGCAATGAGGTTAGAGATTCGGAGAAACATCATCGTTTGAAAGCTGATTTAATCGAAAATGTATGGCAAAAATTTGGTAATGAAGATTAATAATGTTTATATGTTCATGAATTCTTATTGTATTGAATAATGTTTTTTTTTTAATAATTATTAGTGTAATCAGTTTTTAATGTTTGAATAAAAATTTAATTTCAAAAAAAAAAGTTATTATTTTATTCCTATGAACCCCTTTTTAAGGTTCACTAATGCGGGAAAATAATAGATAGAGGTTCATCACTGTTTAAGGACCCACGGAAAAATATTATAAAATTCTCATGAACCCCTTCAAGGGGTTCACTAATGCGGATGGTCTTACTTTTTTATCTTTTTATTACATTTCTTCTGGAGAATAATATTTCTATTCTAGTTGTTTCATAAAATAGCTGTGTAAACAAGATATACTATAAGTCTATAACCAAGGATTTAAATTATCAGTTACTATTATACATTTCTTCTATTTGTTTTATAAAATATCTGTGTAACCAAGATATACTACATTTCATTTTTGATCCATCTTCACAGAAATTGACCCAACTATTAACTTTTTGCTCTATTTATACTTTTCGTTTTCTTTTTTATAATTTTCTAGGAATTTTAGAAATCTGAACAAATAAATTAACCTTAGATGGGTTCTACTCCGTGAGACATTTAACAAAGGAAAAGTTATTGATGTTAACGTATTTTTGTCATATGTTGCCAAATCATTTGATTTATGTTTTTTTATTTATAGAAAATGCTACAAAAACAAGTTTAGTAATCAACAAATGGTTTGCCAATGATATTAATAGAACCAAGCTCGCATAAACATTTTAGTGTTGATCCATAAAAACATTATTAGTGATGAATAATATGATTTTTTATATTTTGTATTTTACTTTTATGCTAAAAATTAATATTTAATAATATACTAGGTGATTTTCCCGTGCTCATGCACGGGTATGAATATTTATGAAGTAAATATATTGTGGTAATATATTTTGGTATATTCTAATTTATTAATTTAGATAGATATTTACTTTTAATTATTAATTAGTTTACAATTTATATGTATAACTTATATTATATTATTTTAGTTAGACATACGATTTGGAAGATGTTTTATTTAATAGGTTTGGTTGTTTTTTGGTCAATAGTCGATTTGGTTACACTTGTGTATTTTAGATTGCATCTATTTTTCTGAATTCAACTATAATATTTTTCTTCTAAATATACTAAAACTTTGATTATTATTGCATTTAGATTGGTTATCATCTTATATATGTATATATATTTTATCAAGATTAGGTATAATTTAATACATATTATGCTTATAATGAAATTGAAAATAAACTGAAATTTTGATTCAAAATTACATAAATGAATATAATGATAATATTCTGAAGTCTCATTCATATATATAATTTTAACAAAAAAAAAGCTGAATTATAGCAGTTGGTTAATGATTTATTTTTCTATATTAATATTTTGAGTCATCCCGTAATCTATATGTATAAAAATAAATAAATAATTATTCTAAAATTATATGTTTTTGTTGTAGTTAGATCTTTTAATTTGGATATAGTTAGATTCTTTCCTTTACTTGTTTTGTGAGTATATTGAGTTATATATATTTACTAATTCAAATGAAAATATAAGTATTTTTGTTCTAATTAAATCAAATAAAATTAGTTTTATTTATTGCTTAATGCAAGTATTTTTATAATATTTTTAATAATTGGATATATGTTGATTTTTAAGAAATATTAAAAAATAAAGTGACGATCAATAACAATTTACATACATAAATATGAGTATAAAGAAACTTTTGAAATTTCATGAGCACATATTAATATTTACAATAATTAAATATTTATAAATTCTAAATTATTTTATGCCTTAGATCTCTTAAAAGGTAATCTGAAACGTTTTTTAAACAATCTTAAAAATAGAACTTAGATTTACTTGAGTATTTTGATTATTTATATATTAAGTTCCACAAACATAAAAAAACATAAAACTAAAAATCAAACTAAATATTAAAAATAATTTTTAATAATAATAAAATGTGATATTTCCATTTTATTAATAGTGTATAATGCTACGTTATTTAAAAGGATTTTGAAATTATTTGATCAAAATATTTATTTTGTTAAAAAAATATTTTTACTTTCCTTTTTAATATCTCTTAAATAAACACTAAACATATTATTTTAGTTAAATTTCGAAAAATTTAAATTTCGTTTATATATAAAGATTTATATTTCATAAATATTTCCTTTTTTATTTATGTGTTTTAAAAGAGTAAAATTATATTAAAAAAATTAAAATCTTATTATGAAAAAAGGAAATACATTATTAATATCAATTAAATAAACACTAAACATGTTATTTTAGGAAATTTTCCAAATAATTATTAAATTTCGTGTATATATAAAGATTTATTAATAAATATTTCCTTTTTTTATTTATATGGTTTAAAAAAGTAAACCTATATTAAAAATTAAGTAAAATCTTATTATGAAAAAAGGAAATACATTATTAATATCTAATTTATTTAATATTTTTTGTTCATTAAGGGTATCTATGTAATTAACCATCGCGAGAGTTAACGTGAGCGCGACATGTATGAAACTGACTTCTCAAATAATACTATAGAGATTGCATTATTTTCATTACATACTTAAAATACAGTAGTAACAAATTTTTACTATTAAGGGCATATTTTTTTAACCCGCTTTAGGCGTCAAATAAGTTTGGACCGGCACTGTATTTATGCTCCTGTTAAGTGAATTACATCCCCTAGTATTTTTCTTTAACTTTTCTTAAATGAAAAAATAGGAATTTTTTCGGAATAGGAATTAAAATCCAAGTTAATCCAGATTCACTTACAATTCAATCTCCTAACATGGCTTCACAACTGTGTCCAAATCTTGACATTTTTTAATGACAGATTTTATCTGTGTGAATGTTTATCAAAGATTTTGTTTAAGAACTAATTAGAGCATAATATTGTAGGACTAGGAGATGCATTTGCAAGTTAAGGGATGCATAAAGTATCGTGATATATGTTGGTTAGTTATTTTATCGTAGTCAAGATTTAATCATAAACTTATAGTTAAACTGCATTCTAGTTTAGCCGTCCATTGAGTGGTGTCTGATGAATTATTAACTTCCCATGCATCCGTAATCAGTTTTAAATAATTACGCACGAGAATTAGTCGACATGAATGAATATATCATGCATTCTCCATAAATATAAGGATTTATATACTGGACCAATGCTGGTGCTCTGAATATTATTAAGTCCTTTCCGAATAAATTTCGTAGCTATTATAATTGTAATTCATTTTGAGGTCACGAGGAAACATCATCTCTCTAGTATTCCTCCATATTAATGTACAGATTGACAAACATTTGTCCAAAAAAATATTTATATTCACATGCAACAACTGGCCAATAACTCAAGTGGAACCCAGTCACACTTAAGCTTCAAAGAAACCAGCTTTCAACCCTTTTGCATTGTTTCCTTATTTATACCCTAATCTAATTCACACACACAAGCAAGAAAAACAAGAACACAATCAAGCAAAACACCAAAAAATGGTGATCTTAACACCAAAAACATCTTTTGATTTCACTAAGAACAGCAACAATTCCAGTCTCAGTGTCCCTGTCTTGTCTTCTTCTTCTGCTTCTTCTTCTTACTTGAGAAGCAAGGAAGAAACCAAGAAGCTCATGGAACCCTGCAAAACCCTAGACATGAATATCAATCCAAAACAAGATCAGGAGCTTGGCCATAAGATGATCATGGTGAAGAAAGCTCCGGAAGATCCAGAGATTGGTGTGTTTGGAGCTGAGAAGTACTTCAATGGAGACATGGATTCAGACCAGAGTTCTAGTGTTCTGTCTCTAACAAACCCAGAAGTTGAGAGATTCCATGTTGATTCTAAGCAGAGCGAGAATAAGTCTACTGGAACGCCGAGTGTTCTCTCTGAATCAAGCTGGAATAGTCAGAGCATATTGCTTCAGAACAAATTGGTTAAGAACTGCAACAGTTCCTTGCATGATAAGAAAAACAATAAGAAGAGTTTTCTCTCAAACCTAGGGTGTAAATGTGTGTGTTTTGATAAAAAAATCAGTTGATGTCGATGATAAGATCTCGGTTAAGAGAAGCAATGATCAGAAGATTCATACGCAAGACGAGTTGGTGCAGAGGAAGTCACCTAAAGTGTTTGGATCAAGAATAGAGGAAGAAGAAGACACAAAGAGTGATTCAGGCTCAGATCTTTTCGAGATAGAAAACCTTACAGAAAAACCAAAACATTTACTTACAAGGCAAGGAAGCGATCCGGCTTCACCTACATGTTATACTCCAAGTGAAGTCAGCATAGAGTGGAGCATAGTGACAGCAAGTGTAGCAGATTTCTCATGTATGTCAGAATGTGCAACAAGCCCTGTAAGAAGAAACCGGTCTTCTCAGATCCCTAACACCGCTAAAAACGCACCGGAGAGATCGAGTAGTAGCCGAAGGGGTGGTTTCTTGAGCTGCAAGAGTGATCAATCTGTTATGGTTTCTAGTGGTTCAGACAAAAGAAGTAACATGAACAAGACATCTCCGAGTTATGTTCCGAGGTTCTCAATGGAGACTACTAAACCTAAGAGTTTTGAAACACGAAGAAGGATCAGCAACAACTCCATTACTCATACACCATCATCTCTTATGTACAGTCAATATTGATTGAATAGAAAGTAAAACAAAAATTAATATATGACCTCTTCTTATCTGTAATGGCTACTGAGTGAGATTTGTAAAATAAAGCAAAATGATTACACAATTAGCAAAAAAAAAATGTCCTAGCCAAGTTTTGTTATTTTTGGATTTAGTCTCAGAATATAGTGATAAAAGTTTTGTCTTAGCCTCGAAGAGTTTGTCACAAAGTATTAATGAGTGAACTTGAATCAATGAAAGTGTCATTTTACCTAACAAATCTAATATCATAGCCATCATGGTCCTGATGGCCATGTGTGTCTGAGATAAAGGCAAAGAAGACAAATAACCTTAACTGTTTTATTGAAAAATAGGTATGAAGTGATGTGAGATTAGAACCAGAGGGCCTTACTTACTAAGACAATAAATGCAAATAAAGTGTGTGTCTTTTTAAGCCAACTCCAACCTGAAAAGACTGGATTTACCCAGAGTGATATCTTGTGCACACTGCATTGAACCTTCCCTTCAAAAGAACTGACTACGATTTCAAGAAACCAAGATGATGATCCCAGACATCAAAGCTAAATATACAGTATGCATTTGACTAAAAAGTCAAGAATCTATAAAGATTTTGATGAAGATAAGTATTGTAAATCAATGGCCACTGTGGTTAATTCAAAAAAAAAAGTATTGTATCTTTTTCAAAAGGTATGGGGAAATAATTGAGCCATCACTATTTTGCTATAAAATATTGAAGTAAATTTAGAAATCAAATCGTGATCTAACTACTCAAGTCTCCATATGTGGTGGAGAAAAGAACAACAAAAAACAAGAAGATATCTTGTGTTAAACAAAGGAAAAAAAACACAATTAAAAAAAAATACTCATGTTTGATTTCTTTAGTTGGACATGCTTCAAAAGCTTCCAAATGCTTTTCCTTCATGTAAATAAGGCAAATAGGTATGGAGAATCCGATCCCACATGACAAAGAATGTCTAAGAGAAGTTATTTTAAATTTTTTCGGAGTTTGTGGTGAAACATATTCCCTGTCTTGATATTAAAGCTGTTCCCAAAGAGCCACATGAGAAAAGAGAAGAGTCTTGTATGGTCTCTATCTGCATTAGCTCAGGAACTGATGACTTGCATGCATAGAAGCAACAATCTATTATTTCAAAAACAAAATGACCACAATACAGTAAAACTAAGATATCTGATGATGTTCTCTAGGGAATGAGTTAGTTACTTACAACTTCCACAGAGGGAACGAAATAATGATCATATATTCATATGCCAATCTTATACAACTTTCAAATCAAATCTCTTTTTAAGGCAACTCCTAGTGTATATCTTAACCCGGAAAAGTTAATTAGACCATATTATTTGCCAAGATCAGTGTAACAATTCGTTTTCTACTTTCCGAGTTATGATCTCATAATCCTTCTAGCATTCTAATCAGACTCAAGAATATGGTTATCTTGTAAATACTATATCATGTGAGCTCTCAAAGGGTTGTTTTTTCTGGTCATACACTTCTTTTGGGTACTCTTTTTCTCTTAAGCAATCGTTTAGGTTATTTCTATAGAATAGAATCAATCCAAACAATGATCAGAGGGGATGTAGCTCAGATGGTAGAGCGCTCGCTTAGCATGCGAGAGGTACGGGGATCGATACCCCGCATCTCCACTTTTTCCTAAATCTTTGGCTTATCGGGCCTTGCTTCAAGCCCAACTACCTCTTCCAAGTACTCAACGTATCGACTTCCTTGCAAGAGAAAACAAAAGTGTGAATTAGGGTTTACTTCGCCGTCACACAGAAGAGAAAAAAGGTTTAGCAAGATACTTGATTTGATTTTTCAGACAGTTAAAACAATAATAATAACAGTTCAATATGAGAAATCTCAGTGAATTGCCTGATGACTTATTGGTGAAGATTTTGTCAATGCTTCCAACAAAAGAGGCTGCAGCAATGAGCGTTTTGTCAAAAGGATGGTGCTGTCTTTGGAAACAACATGTCGTTTATGTAGAGCTTTGTAAAAAATGCTCTACCTTCTGGATCTTTTATATACTTTTACGTAGGTTCCCTTTACCGTCGGCCTTGTGGGAAGTTGCCAAAGTGATAGCTGGAAACTACGTTTCAGAAAGAGTTCCTCCTCCTCTACCAAAGGATATAGGCTTTTTTAGTTTGATGTATTTTCTCAAAGACAAAGCGTGTACTGGGTGCAAAGGAATGATGCATACACATAACAAAGTGATCATAATTTTAATCACACAGGAGTTGGAAAAGACGCACGCTATTATATGTACTACGTTGGAAGAAAAACAGGAGGGTCAGGTTGAGTACATTACTAAGGGAGAGGCTAAGTTAAGCTATTGCATCTCACTTAATTAATTAAGCTTTTTGGTGGTTTTGTTATCAAATTTTGTTTATTTCTTTTCTACTTTTTAGAACATTTTCTTAGAGCTTTTGGTGGATATTTTTTAGTAGTGCTATTTTAAATACTTCTTGGTGATTTTACTTGGGATTGTGAAATACTGAAATAGATATATATTTTTTTTTCTTCTTGTAACTGGTTTTCACATTTTCCACTGTGATTAAATGTGATGGATCTCTCCGCGTGTATGTATGCGCTTATTTATTTATCTCATGCTGATCATGCAAACAATAATCAACCTCAAAGGCCAAGATCTCTTGGTCCTTTCATCCTTTGTTATGTTTTTGTTCTTATTTGATTTTCAATTAGAGTTGGTCTTTTTTGGCAGAGTTAAAGCATGAGAATTCAAGCTGTCTCTCCGTCTTAGCCGTCCTCATTTTGTTGTTCATTCAGGTATTCGAGTTGGATAGACAGAGTAAGATGAGACTTACTAAAGATCCTAATTGACTTCTTATGGAGAACAAAATCTGAGGTTACTATCTTAAACCATTATTACCGACATTGTGTTTGGGTTGAGTTTGTTACACAACAAACTGCTCAACAAATAATTGAACCAATCACATATTTTTCCTAATTAATATTGAGATAAACGTAGAAATTAAATCGTGTTCTAACGTACTCAGTCTCTATACGTGGAGGAGAAAAGAACAGCAATAGCAAGACAACATTTTGTGTTACACAAAAGAAAAATTACCCAAGTTTGATTTATTTGGTTGGCCATTCTTCAAAGCCCCCACATGCTTTTCCTCGATGAATAAGGCAAGTAGGTAACGGAGAGTCCGTTCGCATATGACAAAGAATGTCTCAGAGGAGTAATTTTAAAATTTTCTGGGAGGCTTTTTCTTTCGGAGTGAAACATCCAGTGTCTTGACGTGAAAGCTGTTCCCAAAGAACCACAATGAGAAAGGAGAAGAGTCTTGTTTGGTTTCTCTCTGCCTTGTTTCAGGAAATGATGACCTGTATAGAAGCTACAATCTATTATTTCAATAACAAAATGGCCACAAAACAGTAAAACTAAGATTTTTGAAGTTCTCTAAGTTAGTTACTGACACCACAGAGAGAAGAGAATAAAGATCATAATATCATAGAACTTAAACAAGCTGGAGATCCATAATGATCGTGTGTGATCATTAATCAAGAGGATTAGACCTCTAAAGAGGATTCAAAGTATTTGTAAACACAAACAGAATCATAGATATCAGCAACATATCATTGATCGGCTACTCGTCACATATCATCACCCAAAGTTGTATAACTTGTATTAACGAAATTTAAAGATTTACTCAATTAAATTAAACGACATTTAATCCATATTCTAATAGTTCCACAAGAACAGCTCCCAGCCAGTTTAATATTTATATATTCAATTCGAAATACATTGTAATGAATGTTTTCGAGAATTTACATTAACTGGAGCGGTTTTCTACAAAGCAACTCCGAATATAATTCTTGAGCCTCTGTCCCAAAACAGGTTGTCCATGCATATTAACGTTAAAACATACACTTGGCTGGTTTTAACAAAACATTATGGCCCTTGTTTATGTACTTTATAAAGTTCAAACTGAAAATTAGACTGTCATTTAGTGGGTTGAGCCATACCCGCGCAGTAGTGCAACACATGGGTAACTCGCAAAGGTCCAAATAGCAAGCTATCTTACTGGACCTTCACCCTGAAAAAATAGAATTAATATCGTATGGATCAATGATCCATATATCAGATATTAAACTGATAAGAACAGATACTACACTTGATCTTAGCCAAAAGGCCGAGAAAGGTATGAAGAATTTAGTCCATTAAGCTTCCCTTTTATACCGAAGCTTCGAGAGCGACCGTTTCATAGTTTAGCGATGTGGGATAATTACTCAAACTTTTGCAAATTTAGCTGACAAGGGATAGATTTTTAAACTAAACTTTTCCACGCCATCTCAAAGATTCATCACCTCCTGCTTGATTGATTAAGTAAATATCGCTTTCTACATTATATATGTTCATAAACTATTCAAATTAAGTACCAAAATTTTTATACTTCACAACTTTTTTTTTCTTTTTCTGCTTCTAGTCTAGTTTTGAAGGAGATGGAACATGGAAGAGGGACATAATTGCCATTACGAATGAGAGAAGACATAATCTTTGGTAATTTAACCAGTTGCGGATTAATGTTGATTTGTTTGAACTAAACCATAACCGAAACAAATGTTTTTTTCTTCTTAAAAGCAAATGTTACGGTTCTAGATGCTAGTAAGCAGACTTAAAGTTAGAGACCTGCAAAGGAAAGAGTTCTAAACTGAATTATCTTTTTATAAAACAATGCAGAAATATACAAAACTGTAAGTTTGCCGTTTGTTTCTTGTCTGTTCAAAGCCAATATATATGATCTCTTTCTTCTCAAGCCATCGTTTAGACTTGCTAATAGTTATAGTACTCAATGTAACCGAACATCAATGGGGATGTAGCTCAGATGGTAGAGCGCTCGCTTAGCATGCGAGAGGTACGGGGATCGATACCCCGCATCTCCATTTTCTATTTTTCCTTATTATTATAAGCAATATCCCTAAGTATCTCTTCCAATTTTCATTGTTCCTATATATGTAAAGTTACTCAATGTATCTAACTTCCTTTTTTAATATCCAACTTCCTTTTTTTTTTTTTAAGTATCCAACTACTTGCAAGAGAAAACAATATAATCAAGTCTCTGTGAATTAGGGTTTTACTTTGCCTCACACAGAATGACGGTTTGGCACGAAACTTGATTTAGTTTTCAGACATTATAAGTATAACGACAGCAATAGTAGTCTCTTGTGAATTAGGACGAAGGTTTGTGTGAAATCTTCAATATGAGAGATCTCAGTGAAATGCCTGATATGATATATTGGTGAAGATTTTTTCATTGCTTCCAACAAAAGAGGCTGCAGCTACGAGCGTTTTGTCAAAAGAATGGTGCTGTCTTTGGAAACAACAATGTGTCATTTATGTAGAGCTTTGTAAAAAATGTTCTACCCTCTGGATGTTTTATATAACTTTACTTTCCCTTCATCGAGTTTTTAGCCAGATATTTGGAGAAATTCTTTTAGAGATAGGTCTTCCCCCTGTGCCGGAGAAAGTGGACTTGATATTTTTTTCTCAAAGATCAAGCATGTCCTGAGTGCAAAGGAATGATGCATACACATAAAAAAAGTGACCATTTTCTTCGTAAAGGAGTTTGGAAAGACACAAGCTATTATATGGACAGTGCTGGAAGAGAAACAGGAGGGTCAGATTGAGTAGATTATCAGCCGAGAGACTAAAGTATTGCATCTTACTTTTTGGTGGTTTGTTATTGTTTTTTCTCTCTTCTTTCTTTCTGTTATTTTCTTATTAGAGCTTGTTTGATGGATTTCGTTTTTATACCTTTTTAAGACTTTTTATTTTCTTATTTTTAAAGACTTTACTTTAGTGATTTTACTTGACACTGAAATATTTAAGTATATTATGTTCATTTTGTAACTGTTTTTTTTTCTTCACATTTTCGACTGTGATTTACATGTGATATATCTCTTCACGTGTATATATGTACTCATTTATTTATCTTAAATTGATCAAGCAAACGTAAGCATGCAGTCTCAATGGCCAAGGTCTCTTGGTCCTTTGGTATGTTTTTATTCTTATTTGATTTTGGATCAGAGCCGGTCTTTGGGCAAAGTTCATGAGAAACTCTATCCGTATCTTCGTCTGGCCCTTCTTCATACGGACATTATCGCTGATGATCCTTCTCCCATCAGGAATAACTTAACTATCAAACTTAAAACATCTACAATAGTTATTATCAAATATCAAGAAACTATAAAAATTTAGTTAGTCGTTGAAAAATCAGTTAATCACAAATTCATCAGTGTTTTTTAATATTTACGTTTAAAAGTCTCTTTTTGTTTGAAAGTGGATGGTATTTTTAATTTTACTGTAAAATGTATTAACGTTTTGTGTTATATGAGTTTTCTTTGCATTCTAAATTTCTAATGTCGGTTTTATTACTGGTTCAATTACATTTATTTAGATAACTAATAATGTGCCGTAAAAAAGATGACTATTAATGTTTTACTTAAGAAATTTTTGAAAGTAAATATTTGTTCTTACTTTATATAATTACAATTCTAAAATGTTAACTGATAAAAAATGGAGGAAGTTACCCAAACGAAAAAAACACAGCAAAGAACATACCAAAAAGTAAGTAAACAAATAAATAAAAGTAGTTACAAGAGTAAAAACTAGACTATGAAAAAAAACTTTATTTGATTTTCTTCTTCGCATTGTTCTGACTGGTAAACTCGAACTCACAATGGAATTTGTTTTCTACACCAAAACACGAAAAGTGAAAGAACCAAAAGAGTCCAAAAACACTCTTAACAGAACAGTAACTTGCAAGCAACAGATTGAGATATCTTAAAGGACACATCCATAAAGACCATCACATTTGCCTCTCCTTACCCCCAACAAAAGTGACACTTCTTTTCTGTCGTCATAACAATGACAAAACACTTCAAACCAGCGCTGTAAAGTGAATCTAACGATTATTCGACTTGTAAATAAAAAGAAAGAACTCAAAAGCAAAACTGTGAACAAAGATCAAAAGATGAGCTCTACAAACATAACAACTTAATAGAAAACAAATGGATTAAAAACATATACAACAATGTTAACCAGATACTGGTAAACTCTAAAAAGCTTTTAACTTTTAACCAACTTATTATAAACCTGTTTCCTTTTCTGGTCCTCTAACAATACAGAGATGATTGTATCCAAATTGAAAATTTTTGTAAGAAAACAAATAAGAAGAAGAAGAAACATAAAGATTGGCGAGCTTGGAATCTTCAGTGTAGTCTTTTAGACCCATCAACAAGAATCTGTGTTGTTTTCAGCAACCCATCACTGCACAATTGTACACAAAGTTAGGAGAATGTTTCCTATCAAGCAATGTCCATTCTGGTGGATCACCATCCCTCGGTATCCAAAAATTCAGCTCTATAAACCCACCCCCCGAGTACTTTGGTCCACCTATAACGATTAACCTCTCCCCACAAGCCCTAAAAGCAAGCCCCCATCCATTAACCGAACCAGCTCTCTCAGGCAACCTACCAATAGTTAACCATTTCTTCTTCTCCTTATCATACTTCCTCACCTCCATATCTGCGTGGTCAGCAGCGTACAACTGGTTATTCACAACCGCGACAAGAGGCGGCGCTTCAGCCGCTGGCCGCGTGTCAGCTTGATCAGCACGGCTTCTCGGAGGCGACAAGTCAGGGATATGAGTCCATTTCTTGGCCTCAAGATCATATTCTTCTCCACACGTCAAGGCTTTGGCATCACCACCGCCTATACCACCAATGACGTAGAACTTCCCGTCCATGAAAACCCCTGAACACATCTTCCTCGGTTTGTTCATCCTCGGAAGAGTCACCCAAGTCTGAAGCTCAGAGTTGTACATCTCAGCGAAGTCAAGAATCTTCCCCTGAGAATCACAACCACCAGCGAATATAGCAATCTCTCCAAGACTAGCTGAACCAAACAAACACCTCGGAGAGTTCATCTTCATACCAGAAGACCAAGAATTAGTTAAAAGACTGTATCTGTATATTACATGAGAAGAAAAATCATCTTTTCCTAAGACGAGAAGATCCGTCCCAACAGCTAAAGACTCCTTATCTGCACACATGAAGGTAACACTAGAAGGCATCGTTGGCAACTGCATCCACCTTCTCTCCACAGGATCAAACGCAACCCACTCCAAGAGCTGGCAAGAGAAGTAAACCCAATGCTCCACGAACCCGTTTTGTCGCCTTAGCTTATAAATATCTCCACTCTTCACCAAAGAACGGAAGTTTCTACTCAAGGAAGCAATGGAGCCGTAATCAGACCGTGAGCAGCGGATCAGACAGTCAATAGAATTGTCCCGACCAATCTCGTTGAAAAGAGAATGTGAATCAGACGAATCACCACCACCACCACCATTGTCGTTGGAATCAGCTTGCTCTTGCTCATGAATAGACCCATCTGCAGCAGCATCTTCTCCACTAGATGAATAGTCAGAAGAATCGCTATCATAAGTAATAGAGAAACCCATTAGTTTAAGTGATTTGGTGCCTCTAATCTCACCAACAACCTCCAAAGCTCTCTTCTTGCCGTTGCCGAGCTTGTTATTAGTCTCGTCGTCATCGTGTGGAAACATGAAAGCGTTGGACCAGGTTGATTCGGAGATACGAGAGCTTGAGAAAAGCCTTGAACTCAAACACGAATCTGGTGATCGATTCTCCAACATGTCTTCCAAAATTCAAAATCAAGAATCTTTATCTCTAGCTCGGCTTGATTGGATTAAAAGTCTTCGAATTTCCGAATCTAGATCAAAAACCCAGATGAGAAATGGATTTAGATTGAGGATTCGAGTGATATAACCTAATCAAAATCAGTAAACAGGAACAGAGCAACGGCAGGGAAAGTCGCGAGCTTTCGAGATCCAGATCTCCGGATTTTAATCCAATTTCACAATAGAGGGGAGAAAGAATCAAACCCGGAAGCTTAGAACAGAGAAATCTTCGATCCCGATGTGTTCATGATTCCCTCTGCTCATGAAGAAAAGTAAGAAAAAAGATTCTTTTATGAAACACAAAAGGGGTTTGTTTGTTTTGTTTGTTTGGTTGATAATTAACAGAGAGAGAGAGAACTTACGAGATTGGATTAAAGAGTTAGAAAAAAATAATCAAATTTAAAAAAATCTGAGCAGTTTCAGTTCTTCGTGTTTTATCTATGTCGTCTCTGCGAATCAGAGTGAAGCTTTCGGCTCCTCGAAGTTAAAACTCTTGCGACGAACTATTCTATTCTCTCTCTCTCTTGTTTTTTTTTTTGTTTTTTCTTTCTCTTGTTTATTCCTCTTTTGTTTAACATTTATAGAAACTGAATAACTATTAAATTATTTATAACAACTATTCCTATTTTGTATAAACTTAAAAGTTAATTAATCGAGAAGGAGAGCAGAGCAATACACCAACACTAAAACTATCTCAACAAACGCTAATTATGTCTTTTTCCATAGACTAGATTTGGTATAGTATACTTTTTATATCTTGAAAGTATATTATAAGAAGAAAAAAATTGAAGGCCTCAACGATTAGCTACTTTTAAAATTTAAAATGAACTTATTTATTCATTTGTTTAGTAGAAAGGCTTAGTCGTCTAGCTTGTTTACCTCATTAGTGACGTTTTGGAACCATATACAGTAAACAATCGCTATTCATCATTTTTTTTGGTACTTATGATGGTTGGATAACTGGAAAAATAAAGAAAATATTTAGTGCCAAAAGGACCATGAAAATTAATTGGAATGTGTTTTCTTTTTTTTGTTGGGCGTGAGAATAAGGAAAAAGAAACAATCTACTTTTCAGCGTTGAATGCAGATGTTCAGAGTACTTCGGCTGTTAGTTTTCAGTGGTCAAAAGGAATTTAATTACCAGCAGAAAAAGTTGTTTACAGATCCCACGTTATTGAATTTCAAATATTCTTTTATCATGGAAGTACATTATAGCGAGACAAATAGATATATCTATCTGATCGGTATTAGAACATTATTTTGAAATGTGTGAATTGTTATTATTATTATTATTTTTAACTGGGTTTGAATTGTTATTTCTAAAATGTAATTTAGATAAAGTCAATCTACACTGAGTGGATCTTTTTTTTTTTTGTGCTAACTCACTTAGAGCATCTCCAAAAATACACTCAATTTTATAATTTACAAAACTCTATTTTTGAAGTTTCCAAGTTTCTTCTCAAAAAAAAAATTTTTAAATCTAACTTTAAAAGTATTTTTATTTTACTCTATGGTCCTTACATTTGTCATAATTAGTATAAATTGATATTTTTATAAATAACTAGCACATATATGAAAAACATAACAATAATATTAATTAAAAATATTTACTCTATAATATAAAACTGTAAATAGAAATACATAACTAAATAATAAATTACAAACAAAATATCACATTATTTCATAAATTATTTCCATAATTCTCCATTTTCAGTTACACAACATTTGTTTGGACAATATTTCGGAAATTTTTAAGGTTTCAGAGAAAATTTATATAAATTTTATTTTAGAGTTTTATGTATAAAACTTAATTTTATAAAACAATCTGAAATATTTATAAAATAAAAAAAAGTTTAAGGATTAAAATGTTAAACAAGAAATACTAAAAATCAAAAATATAATATATAATTAATTGTAAGGTCCAAAATGCAAATAAAAAGATGAAACTTCAAATTTGAATTTTTGAGAATTGAAAATTTAAATAGAAAATTTCACTCTTCAAAACTTCAAATTTAAAATTTTGAATTTTTTTTTGTAGAGCAAAAAACTCTATATTTAGTGTTATAGAATGTCTTTGGAGATGCTTTTGGTGAATGTTAAATTATTAGTGCAGATGATTTATCTCTTTTTTCTTAAGAGCGCATATATCTTCTATACTCCCTTTGTTTAATAATAAGTGTCGTTTTAAATTTTGGCACACAGATTCATGAAACAATTAATTTTACAAATTTTCTATATAAAAACATAATTACCTATACAGCTTACTATATTCCAAACAGTAGAAAAATATATCACAGAATATAACTAATAAATTTTGCATTGAAAACTAAAAACGATACTTATTTTGCAAGGGAAAAATTCTTTAAAACGACACTTAATATAAGATGGAGGGAGTACTATTTTAGCTTTGGATGATGTGTGAGGTGAACCATATCACAACAAATTCTGGAAAATGTATAAATACATGACTTAACCATTTATTTGGAACTTGGGAGATACAATTTTATTGTTATCAGTATGCATTGGAAAACTTTTCTTGGCAAAAAAAACTAGAAAACTACAATAAACATAGACTATAATTCCTTAATTGTATACAAGTTCAATGATATACAAAACGAAACACATGTTTTTTCAAATTTAAAATCTTAAAGATACTAAAATACATAATATATAGTATATAAAATGAACTTGAGATAACAATGTAACATTTACACATTTTTATTCTGGATTTTTTAGAGAGATTAAAAGCCAAAGGTCAGAAACTTTCATGGTTTTCAAGAAACAAACTTTTTTTTTGAAACGCCTTCAAGAAACAAACTATTAGACATTTTCTTGCACAAATTAACGAATGCTATGGAATAAATCGAACCAAGAAAAATCAACCATAAAAGCAAGATGTATTTTTCAGGAACATTTAAAGTGTTTTTCTTGTTGCTTTTAAATCTTCCACTTTCCAAATGGTCTCATGAAGTGAGTGGATACAAGAGTTTGTAAAAGAGCTGTCTCCACGTGAGATGATTCTTTTTCATTTCTTCACGTTCTTCCAACATTCACATCTATCTTTTAATTCGATGGTAACATTCTCGATTAACTTTATAAAATAACTCAGTTTATTACTTTTATCAAGTTTAAAGACATATTTTAATTAGTTATCCATGACAGCCCCATTCTTACAACTGTAGTCACACTACCACTCTATTCATTCATCTATATCGATAGATAAAGTGTTAGGAAAGAATCGCACATCAGAAAATTAAGAAGAAACTAAACAATAGTATAAGTAATTTGGGTAATCTAATCATCACTAAAACTTTTAAATTGAAATCCCAAAAAAAAACTTAACATGATATCAAAACCGTCCACACTCTTAATCATATATCCAACTTGGAAAATGACATAATTATCTTACTAATTAATAGCTAAAAATATTTGATTTCGTCCAAATAACTATAGTTTAGCATTATCTTTAAATATGATGAATTCTATTAGAATTAATGGTTATATAGATCAATATTTCGATGGAGAATATCAAAGAAAAATTTCACATCAAAAATTTTAAAAAGAGACTAAATAATATTTAAGTGGACTTGAACAAATCTAATAATTACTAATTAATTTTAAATTGGAAACCTATAATAAATTTAAAAATTCTTTAATTATGATAAGCAATATTTTGTTGGTAATCTAATATAATCACTATACGTTAAACAATATTTTTAGCCACGCACCTCTTCTTTTTATCATGCATTTATATAACCATGCCCCTCTATTTACATTATTAATTTTGTAATTTGAGAAACGACGAAGGAATATTTTCAGGCGTTTATTTATTTTCTCTAAAATATATATATATATATATATATATATATATATATTTTTTTTTTTTTTTTTTTTTTTAGGCGCCAGCTT